GGAGTTGTCAAGTAGGCACCTAGGTATAGAGCTTAGAGTCTAGCAGAAAGGTTGAGGTTGAAATACAGACTATGGAGTGGGTCAACATACATATGGCATAGAAAGTCATGTCTTAGAAGAGTTAATCCAGGAAGGTAGTGTAAACAAAGAAAGGAAGAAGCTGCAGTACTGAACTCTGGAGTTCCCCAACATTTAAAGGGGTAAATAGATGTGAAACAATCAGCAAAGATGTTAAAAAGATAAATAATAATAATAATAATAATAAAATAAAACCATGCCAACAACAACAACAAAAAATCAGAAGAGCAGGTGCACAGACCGGAACCAAAAAGTGTCTCAAGGAGGAGTAGTGGACGACTCCCTTCAGTGGCTGCCAGAAGGTCAAGAAACATGAGACCCACAAGTGACCCATTCTTCCTAGATGCAGAGTGATAGAAGCCAGACGCAAAGGAGAACATACCATGTGATTCCATTATACGAAGCTCAAAAACAGGAAAAACTCATCTATGGTACTGGGAGTTCTGACTCCAGTAGTTCAAAGCATTTCATCTTTCACATCTGTTATCCTGGCATCTCTTTGGAACATGCAAGAGCCAGGTGGTACCCTGTGCTGATGTTTATGTAATGCTGTTAATATTTTATTGGAGCCATTTTCAGTCTCCTAGCCAACTAGACCACAAGCATGGTGAAGGCAGAAGAGAAGAGCATCCCCTGTTTTGCCCAATGAAGTGCAAAGCAAAAAGCCCACCACTCACTCCTTCTTTAGTACCTGCTTGCTACATAGCAGTTCATCGGATTCATGAGTGAGTAGTGGATGATATTCCACAATAGATTATACAAAGACGTGGAAAAGCTGGTGACAGGAGAGACAGCCCCAGGTGGTCCACTGCACCTGAGAAAAGAATGAACCCTAAGTCAGGCTCCATAACGCACAGCCTGGTGGATAGAACTCACTTACTAATGGATCGAGACACCCGGGTTTGCATCCAGGTGCTGCCATGTATTCGTTCTTTGCCTTTGGCACGTTTCTTTAGTCTCTGTGTGCCTCAGTTTCTACATCTCTAAAGCAAGGATAATAGAAGTATCTTCTTTATGAGCTGTCATGAGGACAAAAGGAGATGCTTCATGTACAGAGCCTGACACATAGTAGTGATCAACAGGAGTTAGTGTTGGTGGTAGTGGTGGGTGGTGGACAGAATTATACTTTGGCAATATGATTGCTACTCTTCCTTAGGCATTAGCTCTGTTAAATAGTGTGTTCCCTACTTCTTGAAATTGTGGCTTGTTGGGGACACAGAGGGCTTTTGGGGTAATGTCATGTTCTGCTTCCAGGTCTGGGCTCTGTTCATGAGAGTGTGTTCAATTTGTGAAAATTCATACAGCTGTCCATCTAGGATATGAACATGTTCCTCTATGTGAATTACACTTCAGTACAAATAAGAAAAAGATCCTTCAGTGGCTCCCCTTAGCTTTCAAGCTGAAGTTAACTGTTTCTTAGCTTAGCACACAAGTACCTTTAAGACCCAGCCCTTATCTTCTCCACATCAACTCTTTGAAGTGCTATGAATATACCATCTCTGTTACCTCATCATGGCTTCACTCATACAATTTCCTCTACTCAAAACCAAAACTCAGCTCAAGTACCATCTCTTCCGGGAAGACTTCCCTGACCGGGTCAAGATGTCCTTAATGGGATTCACACTGTCCCTGTACTTCCATCCACCCTAATATCTTTTTTAAATTTTTTTATTGTTATGTTAATCACCATACATTACATCATTAGTTTTTGATGTAGTGTTCCATGATTCATTGTTTGTGCATAACACCCAGTGCTCCATGCA